TGGGGTGTGGGGGGTATGGGGTGTATGGGGTGTATGAGGTGTATGGGGTGTGGGGTGTGGGGTATAGGATGTGGGGTATGGGGTGTATGGGGTATGGGGGGTATGGGGTGTGGGGGGTATGGGGTGTATGGGGTATGGGGGATATGGGGTGTGGGGTGTATGGGGTATAGGGTATGGGGTATGGGGTGTATGAGGTGTATGGGGTGTGGGGTGTATGGGGTGTATGGGGTATGGGGGGTATGGGGTATGGGGGGTGTGGGGTGTATGGGGTGTATGGGGTATGGGGTGTACAGGGTGTAGGATATGGGATATGGGGTATGGGATATGGGGTCTGTGGGGTGTATGGGGTGTGTGGGGAATGGGGTATGGGATATGGGATATATGGGATATGGGGTCTGTGGGGATGGGGTGTGTATGGGGTATGGGGTATGGGGTATGGGATATGGGGTGTGGGGTGTGGGATATGGGATGGGGCAGGAAGAGGTCCTGGAGATGGCTTGTGCAGGAGTGATGGGTTGGGGGCCCCCCCCACACCAGTGTCCCCAGGATGCGCTGTCCCGGTGCCCACACATCCCCATGTTCCCTATCCCAGTGTTCCATAGGCCCATATCCCCCTGTCTCCATGTCCCCTTGGTGTCCCCCTGTTCCCCCCATGGCGTCCCCACAGGGTCCCTGCTCGCCGTGGGGCGGGTGCTGTGAGAACCTGCCCTGCCTGACCGCGGCGGGGGGCAGCCCCCACGCTGAGCTGGAGCCCCAGGAGCACAAAGGTACTGGGGATGGGAAGAGGGAATGGGCTCTCCTGGCCTGTCTGGTCACCGCATCCCATCCCATCCCATCCATCCCATCCCATCCATCCCATCCCATCCCATCCCATCCCATCCATCCATCCATCCATCCATCCCATCCATCCATCCATCCATCCCATCCCATCCATCCATCCCATCTCCATCCATCCCATCCCATCCCCCATCCATCCCAACCCATCCCATCCCATCCCATCCATCCCATCCCATCCATCCCATCCCATCCATCCCATCCCATCCCATCCATCCCATCCCATCCCACCCCATCCATTCCATCCCATCCATCCCATGCATCCCATCCATCCCATCCATCCCATCCCATCCATCCCATCCATCCATCCCATCCATCCCATCCCATCCATCCCATCCATCCCATCCATCCCATCCATCCCATCCCATCCATCCCATCCCATCCATCCCATCCCATCCCATCCCATCCTATCCCACCCCATCCCATCCCATCCATCCCATCCCATCCATCCCATTCCCCCTGCAGAGCCGCTCTCGGAGGATGACCTCTATTGCCGCTGCCTCTCCCGCACCCTTTGCCACACGGGCACCCCGGTCACCGTCGGGGTCTTCGCCCCCTGCACCCATCGCCTCTTCTCGCTGCTCGACAAGGTCACCGGTGGGTGCGGGACCAGCGTCCCCCCCATCCCATCCCCATCCCATCGGCTCCTGCGTCCCGGTCCTCTTCTATCCCATCTGAACCCATCTGACCCCATCCCACCCCATCCCATCATCATCTCACCTATTCCAATCCCCATCCCACCCCATCCCATCATCATCTCACCTATTCCAATCCCCATCCCATCCCATCATCTCACCTATTCCAATCCCCATCCCACCCCATCTCATCATCATCTCACCTATTCCAATCCCTCCCATCCCATCCCACTCCATCCCTTCTTGTCTCATCCCATCCATCAAATCCTACCCCATCTTGATCCCGTCCCATGCCATCCCCATTACATTCAATCCCATCCCATCCTTATTCCATCCTGTCCCATCCCACTGTCTCATCCATCCTGACCTTATCCCACCCCATTCCATCCAATGGCATCCTGGCTCAACCCATCCTACCCCATTCCATCCAATGGCATCCTGGCTCAACCCATCCTACCCTATTCCACCCCTCCCCATGTCATCTCATCCCATCTCACCTATCTTGATCTTATCCAACCACACTTAATGCCATCCCATCCTGTCCTGTCCCGTCTCATCTCATCCCATCCCATATATATCTCATCTCATCTCATCTCATCCCATATCATCTCATCTCATCTCATCTCATCTCATCTCATCTCATCTCATCTCATCTCATCTCATCTCATCCCATATCATCTCATCTCATCCCGTATCATCTCATCTCATCTCATCTCATTCCATCCATCCCATCCCATCATCTCACGTGTTCTGATCTCATCCAACCCTATCCAATGCCATCCCATCTCACCCCATCCCTTCCTTTTCTCTTCTCCTCTTCTCTTCTCTCTTCTCTTCCTCTCTTCCTCTCTTCTCTCTTCTCTTCTCTTCTCTTCTCTTCTCTTCTCTTCTCTTCTCTTCTCTTCTCTTCTCTTCTCTTCTCTTCTCTTCTCTTCTCTTCCTCTCTTCTCTCTTCTCTTCTCTTCTCTTCTCTTCTCTTCTCTTCTCTTCTCTTCTCTTCTCTTCTCTTCTCTCTTCTTCTCTTCTCTTCTCTTCTCTTCTCTTATCTTCTCTTCTCTTCTCTTCTCTTCTCTTCTCTTCTCTTCTCTTCTCTTCTCTTCTCTTCTCTTCTCTTCTCTTCCCTCTCCTCTCCTCTCCTCTCCTCTCCTCTCCTCTCCTCTCCTCTCCTCTCCTCTCCTCTCCTCTCCTCTCCTCTCCTCTCCTCTCCACTCTCCCCATCCCCTTCCATCCCATCCCATCTCCTCCATCCCATCCCATCCACCCGATCCCATCCCATCCATCCCCTCCCCTCCCCTCCCATCCCATCCCATCCCATCCACCCGATCCCATCCCATCCCATCCCGTCCCCGCAGGTTTCATGCGCCAGGAGATGGCCGAGCTGGAAGCCTCCGAGGAGCTCCGTGGCCGGCAGCGCCCTCGCAGCCCCAAGGGCTGGGGGCTTCTCCAGGCCCTTTGGTACCTGAGCTTCTACCGCGCCGTCATCACCGAGGGTCACCTGCGGCGCCGCGCCCTCGCCTTCATCTTCATCCGCTTCAGCGCCTGGCAGTTCGCCGGCTGCGACCGCCTCTGGGCCGGGCTGGTGACCGCGCTGTGCCACAGCATCCGCAGCCACTTCGGGGCCCTGCCCCTCAGCGTCTTCCACGTGCTGGGCTCGCGGCCGCGCTTCGCCTCGGGCTTCAGCCAGCGGGAATGGGTGCTCAAGCGGGGCACGTGCCTCAAGCTGTGGGGCATGCTGGCGGCGCTGGGCGCCGGCGTGGCCGTGCTGCTGGTGGCGCTGCTGGTGCCGGGCGTCAAGGAGAGCCCGGTGCTGAAGGTGCTGGGCAGCGGCATCGCGTCGCTCTCGGGCTCCGGGTTGGTGTTGGGCGCCGTCTCCATCGTCAAGAACCTGCTGGTGAGCGAGAAGCAGAAGATCGAGCGCTTGACCAACAGCGAGCGCTTCTCCTCGCAGCTGGGTTTCATGAGCAAGGTGCGAGCCGAGGTGCAGGCGCTCGTCGACTTCTTGGCCTTCATGGAGGTCTTCGAGCGGCGCCGGCTCCGCGTGGTGCTGGAGATCACCAGCCTGGAGCTCTGCTACCCGGAGAAGGTGGCCGGCGTGCTCAACGCCGTCAACACGCTGCTGTCGGACGCCAACGCGCCCTTCATCTTCATCCTGGCCGTGGACCCCAGCGTCATCGTGCCCTGCCTGGAGCAGACGGGCTGCATGAAGGGGCTGGCAGACAACGGGTACCTCTACCTCAACCGCACTGTCTCGCTGCCCTTCTCCATCCCGGAGATGGGCGCCCGCTCCCGCCTCCACTTCCTGGACGCCGCCATCCAGACGCGGGAGGACCTCTTGTACCGCATCATCACCCGCAACGTGGAGCGGCGCCGCGCCAAGGGCCACGGCACGGCCGCGGATCGCGGTGACACCGACACCGACGCCGACGCCGTGCGCTGCATCCACGAAGCGTTCCACTGCCTCCGCGACGACGCCGACCCCTTGGCTCGCTACCTGCCCAGCTGCGGCACCCACGTGCGCCGCGTCGTCAACACCATCCCCATCACCCTGCGCCTGCTCCTGCACCGCGGCGCCGGCGCCGTGGCCCCGCGAGCGGCGGCCGCTTGGGTGGTGTTGGCCGACGGGTGGCCGTGCCGCTTGAGCTGGGCGCTGCAGTGCGCCGAGGACGCCTGGCAAGGCCCCGCGGTGCCGGGGCTCGGCGCCCGCTCCCTCTGGAGCATCTTCGAGGAGCACGAGGGCGAGCTGGGAGCGCTGCGGCAGGCGCTGCACAACGCGCTCAGCCTGGACGGGGATCCCGAGCTCTTCCAAAGCTTCCTGCAGCGAGACTTCCCCTTCACGGCCCGCGAGGCGCGCGTCCTGCTCGCCGTCACCGTCAACCTGGACCACTCCATCCGGCACAAGATGGGGCTCCTGCGGGGGCTCCATCGGCTCCAGGCGGCGCCGCGGGGGAGCAGCAGCATCCAGTGCCCGCATCCCGAGTGATGCCGGGATCCAAGGCCTCCATCGGTACCCACGGAGGATGCTCTGGGGGGCAGGGAGGGGGACCACGAGGTCCCAGCCCCACGAGGAGGCCACCATGGGGTGGAACTGGGGGAGCGGGTCCCTTAAGGGGAGGGATATGGGGGGGGTGACAATGTAATGGGGGGGGTCAGCCCATAATAAACCAGCTCAACCTCCTGCTCTGTGCTTCGGATGATGCCTGGTTTGAGGGGGGGGGTACCAATAATGGGGGGGGTATCAATAATGGGGGTACCAATAATGGGGGGGTATCAATAATGCAGGTACCAATAATGAGGGGTATCAATACTGGGGGTACCAGTACTGGGGGTACCAATAATGAGGGGGGTACCGATAATGGGGGGGTATCAATAATGGGGGTACCAATAATGGGGGGGTACCAATAATGGGGGGGTATCAATAATGGGGGTACCAATAATGGGGTGCCAGGGGGGTGCCAATAATGGGGGTACCAATAATGGGGTGGGTATCAATAATAGGGGTGCCAATAATGGGGGGGTACCGATATTGGGGGGGTATCAATAATGGGGGTACCAATAATGGGGGGGTATCAATAATGGGGGTACCAATAATGGGGGGTGTGTGCAACAATGGGAGTGCCAGTAATAGGGTGCACACCAATAATGCAGGTACCAATAATGGGGGGGGGGGCAATAATGGGGGTACCCATAACAAGCTGCAGGGGGGCCACTAATGAGGGGGGGTCAATAATGGGGGCCAATAATGGGTGCAGAGGGGGGGAGCAATAATGGGGCGTACCAATACTGGGGTGTTGGGGGGGCAATAATTGAGTGGGCAACAATGGGGGGTACCAACAGCAGGGTGCAGGGGGGTGCCAATAATGGGGTGCAGGGGGGGCAATAATGGGGGTACCAATAATGAGGGTGGCCAATAATGGGGGCCACCAAGAATGGGTGCAGAGGTGGGTAGCAATAATGGGGGTACCAATACCGGGGTGCGGGGGGGCTATAACTGAGTGGGCAATATGGGGGTACAAATAATGGGGGTACCAATAATGAGGGGTGGGGAGGGGTATCAATAATGGGGTGCGGGGAGCATACCAATAATGGGGGTACCAGGAATGGGTGCAGGGGGGGGTACCAATAATGGGGGGGACCAATAATGGGGGCTGCCAATAATGGAGAGGGGATAATGGGGGCTCATAATGACTGCAGTGGGGGTACCAATAATGGGGGTACCAATACCGGGGTGCAGGGGGGCAATAACTGAGTGGGCAATAATGGGGGGTACCAATAATGGGGTGCGGGGGGGGGACCAATAATGGGGGTACCAATAATGGGGGGTACCAATAATGGGGTGCGGGGGGACCAATAATGGGGGGTACCAATAATGGGGTGCGGGGGGGGGGTACCAATAATGGGGGTTACCAATAATGGGGTGCGGGGGGGGGTACCAATAATGGGGGTTACCAATAATGGGGTGCGGGGGGGGGACCAATAATGGGGGTTACCAATAATGTGGTGCGGGGGGGGGGACCAATAATGGGGGGTACCAATAATGGGGTGCGGGGGGACGACCAATAATGGGGGGTACCAATAATGCGGGGGGGGGGGACCAATAATGGGGGGTACCAATAATGGGGTGAGAGGGGGGAACCAATAATGGGGGTTACCAATAATGGGGTGCGGGGGGGGACCAATAATGGGGGGTACCAATAATGGGGTGCAGGGGGACACCAATAATGGGGGGTACCAATAATGGGGTGCAGGGGGGGGACCAATAATGGGGGGTACAAATAATGGGGTGCAGGGGGACACCAATAATGGGGGGTACCAATAATGGGGGTACCAATAAGGGTGTGCGGGGGGGACCAATAATAGGGGGTACCAATAATGGGGGTACCAATAAGGGGGTGCGGGGGGGGGGGGATCAATAATGGGGGGTACCAATATGGGGGGGGGCAATAATTGAGTGGGCAATAATTGGGGGGGTACCACTAATGTGGGGTACCAATAACGGGGTGCAGGGGGGCAATAATGGAGGCTGCCAATAATGGGGGGGTCAATAATGGCCGCGGGGGGGGGACCAATAATGGGGGGGGGGTCAATAGTGGGGGCCAATAATGGCCACAGGGGGGGATACCAATAATGGGGGGGGGGGGTGTCAATAGTGGGGGCCAATAATGGCTGCAGGGGGGGTACCAATAATGGGGGGGCAATAGTGGGGGCCAATAATGGCCACAGGGGGGGTACCAATAATGGGGGGGGGGGTGTCAATAGTGGGGGCCAATAATGGCTGCAGGGGGGGTACCAATAATGGGGGGGTTCAATAGTGGGGGCCAATAATGGCTGCAGGGGGGGGGTACCAATAATGGGGGGGGGTCAATAGTGAGGGTACCAATACTGGGGGGGCACCAATAGTGGGGTGCAGGGGGGGGCTGTGTTATGGGGGGGGTCCCATTCCCATCCATCCCCCCCCATAGCCCGGGGGCCCCCACAGCCGAATGCAGCTCCTTTAATAGAAACCAGTGTTAACAAAGAGATGCCACCGAATGCCCCCCCCCCCCCACCCCATAGAGCCCCCCCATTGCCACCAATCCCCCCCCCCCCCCCAAAAAGCCACCCCCCGGCTCCCTGATAGATTTATTGCACTTAAGAAAGACAAAGCGCCGAGTCCTCGTCCCCCTCCCTGAGAAATCCAGCCCGGCCCTTGGGAACGGCATTCCCAACGCTGGGAATCCCAACCTGGAAGCAGCCCCGCTTTGGATCCTGATTCCCACTCAAAAAGAGGGGTTCCCCACTTTGGCTGCGAGGGGGGGGGGGGGGGGGGGTGTAGGGGTTGTTTTCCCGGTATTCCCAAAGGCAGGAATTGAGATGGAAGGAGTTGCTGGATTCTAAGAGCATCCCCAGGTAGGAACGGTGCAGCTGATGATAAATAGAGCCCGAAAACGAAAGGAAAAGAAGGAATTCCAAATAAATAAGCAGAGTGGCTGGGAATGCCACGGCCTGGCCCGGGAATCCTGCGGGAATTCCGCCACCTCGGTCCCTGTAGTGTGGGAATCTCCTCCATAGAGAAAGAGGGGAAAAGGGGAGGCGAAGGTGCCTTGTAGTGTCCATGGGGATGAACCCATCCGGGGGCTTTTCCCTCTTTGCCGTCCTGCCTTTCCGCTCGGGAACGCGGGGAAGAGGCCGAGGGCTGGGAATGGGCTGGGGCAACAGGAGTTTGGTTTGGAAGAACCCCTTGGTCCTGGAGCCCAGCCTTGGATGCTCCATGGGGAAGAGGAGAAAACCATCGCGGAGGCTCCGTCCCACGGACCTGCACGAGAGAGGAGCGCAGCCGTGGGGCCGAGGGGAGCCCCGGCCCCGGGCCGTCCCCATCCCATGGGATTCACTCACGGGTGCTCAGGGCAGCTCCTGCCCCGTGTCCTGGCTGGCCTCGAGGAGCAGCTCCTCCAGCTCCTGCGCGTTCTTGGAGCAGCTCAACTCTGGAAGCAACCGGCACCGGGTTCGTCCCACTCCAGCATTCCCAACCCGACATTCCCAATCCCGGCATTCCCAATGTTCACAGTCCAGCATTCCCAACCCGACATTCCCAACCCGGCATTCCCAATCCCACATTCCCACTCCAGCATTCCCAACCCGACATTCCCAATGTTCACAGTCCTGCATTCCCAACCTGACATTCCCAATCCCACATTCACAGTCCTGCATTCCCAACCCGACATTCCCAACCCGACATTCCCAACCCGACATTCCCAATCCCACATTCCCACTCCAGCATTCCCAACCCGACATTCCCAATGTTCACAGTCCTGCATTCCCAACCCGACATTCCCAACCCGACATTCCCAATCCCACATTCCCACTCCAGCATTCCCAACCCGACATTCCCAATGTTCACAGTCCTGCATTCCCAACCTGACATTCCCAATCCCACATTCACAGTCCTGCATTCCCAACCCGACATTCCCAATCCCGACATTCCCAACGTTCACAGTCCTGCATTCCCAACCCGACATTCCCAACCCGGCATTCCCAATCCCGAAATTCCCAACGTTCACAGTCCTGCATTCCCAACCCGACATTCCCAACCCGACATTCCCAATCCCACATTCCCACTCCAGCATTCCCAATCCCGACATTCCCAACGTTCACAGTCCTGCATTCCCAACCCGACATTCCCAACCCGGCATTCCCAATCCCACGTTCCCAACATTCACAGTCCTGCAGTCCCAACCCGACATTCCCAACCCGACATTCCCAATCCCACATTCCCACTCCAGCATTCCCAACCCGACATTCCCAATCCCGACATTCCCAACATTCACAGTCCTGCATTCCCAACCCGACATTCCCAATCCCACGTTCCCAACATTCACAGTCCTGCATTCCCAACCCGACATTCCCAATCCCACATTCCCACATCCAGCATCCAGCATTCCCAACCCACATTCCTGCATTCCCAACCTGACATTCCCAATCCCACATTCACAGTCCTGCATTCCCAACCCGACATTCCCAATCCCACGTTCCCAACATTCCCAGTCCTGCATTCCCAACCCAACATTCCCAATCCCACATTCCCAACATTCACAGTCCTGCATTCCCAACCTGACATTCCCAACCCTCCCAATCCCACATTTCCAATCCAGCATCCCCAATCCAACATTCCCAACCCAACATCCCCAGTCCTGCATTACCAACCCAATGAACATTCCCAATCTGACATCTCCAATCCCACATTTCCAATCTGACATTCCCAACCTGACGCTCCCAACCCAACATTCCCAGTCCTGCATTACCAACCTAATGAACATTCCCAATCTGACATTCCTAACCCAACATTCCCAATCTAACATTCCCAACCTGACATTCCCAATCCCCCATTCCCAATCCCACATTCCCAATCCCACATTCCCAATCCCACATTCCCAGTCCCCCATTCCCAGCGCCCCATTCCCAGTCCCCCATTCCCAGCCCTGCATTCCCAGTCCCCCATTCCCAGTCCCCCATTCCCAGTCCCCCATTCCTAGCCCCGCATTCCCAGCCCCGCATTCCCAGTCCCCCATTCCCAGCCCCACATTCCCAGCCCCGCATTCCCAGCCCCGCATTCCCAGCCCCGCATTCCCAGCCCCGCATTCCCAGTCCCCCATTCCCAGCCCCGCATTCCCAGTCCCCCATTCCCAGCCCCGCATTCCCAGTCCCCCATTCCCAGCCCCCCATTCCCAGCCCCGCATTCCCAGCCCCGCATTCCCAGTCCCCCATTCCCAGCCCCGCATTCCCAGTCCCCCATTCCCAGTCCCCCATTCCCAGTCCCCCATTCCCAATCCCCCAGTCGCTGGCTCGTATTACCTGCCCCGCATTCCCAGCCCCCCATTCCCAGCCCCGCATTCCCAGCCCCACATTCCCAGCCCCGCATTCCCAGTCCCCCATTTCCAGCCCCGCATTCCCAGCCCCGCATTCCCAGTCCCCCATTCCCAGTCCCCCATTCCCAGCCCCCCATTCCCAGCCCCGCATTCCCAGCCCCCATTCCCAGTCCCCCATTCCCAGCCCCCATTCCCAGTGCCCCATTCCCAGCCCCGCATTCCCAGTCCCCACATTCCCAGTCCCCCCCATTCCCAGCCCCGCATTCCCAGCCCTGCATTCCCAGTCCCCCATTCCCAGCCCTGCATTCCCAGTCCCCCATTCCCAGTCCCCCATTCCCAGCCCCGCATTCCCAGCATTCCCAGTCCCCCATTCCCAGCCCCACATTCCCAGCCCTGTCCCAGCCCTGCATTCCCAGCACTGCATTCCCAGCCCTGCATTCCCAGCCCTGCATTCCCAGCCCCCCATTCCCAGCCCTGCATTCCCAGCCCATTCCCAGCCCCGCATTCCCAGCCCCACATTCACAGCCCCGCATTCCCAGCCCCGCATTCCCAGCCACGCATTCCCAGTCCCCCATTCCCAGCCCCCCATTCCCAGCCCCGCATTCCCAGTCCCCCATTCCCAGCCCTGCATTCCCAGTCCCCCATTCCCAGTCCCCCATTCCCAGCCCTGCATTCCCAGCCCTGCATTCCCAGTCCCCCATTCTCAGCCCCACATTCCCAGCCCTGCATTCCCAGCCCTGCATCCCAGCCCTTCTCCCATCCAATGTGCTCCAGGGAATGCTGCCCGTTATCCCGAGCACTAAGCAAGGCTCCGCGAGCTTCCCAAAGGATTCACCGCATCCAGTGCGGAGCATTAGGAACCACTTCAAAGGGCACCTCCCCACTCACCCCAGCCTCGGAATTCCCTTGGGAAAACCTGCCCAGGAATGACTGCCCCGGGGATATCCCATTGGGAAAGGAGCAAGGGAACGGCTCCGTGCTCATCCCGGCCTCCGGCATCGCGCTGGGGAATGGGGTTCCCCGTGGATTCCGGAGCTCTTACCGTGCTCTGCTCCCCAACTTCCCAGTTTCCCATCGTTTTCCGAGGCCGCCTCCGGAAGCGCCCGTGCAAAATCCACCTTCAGCCCGTTGGGAAGCGCCTCGGCTCCGGCGGGAGCCTCGGCTCCGGCTCCATTGGAGCAGGGCTGGAGCTCGGTATTCCCGCTGGGATCAGCGTCCTCATCCCGCTCCGGGCCCGGCTCCACCCGCGTCACCACAAAGACCTTGTGGCCCCGGCCGGGGCTCGACACTGAAATCCTCCTCTCGGCTCCCCGGCACGGAGCGGGATCCACGGCGTTCCCGGGGCCGGAGGGAGCATCCCTAGGGATGCTCGGGGCTGGCGACACGAGGACACCGCCGGAGGAGTCAGGGAGCTCCTTCCTTCCCGAGGGAGCAGCGGCCTCATCCTCATCCTCATCCGTGGCCGTGTCCGAGTCCGTCCCCTCATCCCGGTCATTGCCCTGCTCCTCATCCCCTTCCGCCGGCTCCGTGTCCCCGTTCTCAGCTTCCTGCCCCTCATCCCGCGCGGATCCGGGGCTTCCATCCGGGATGGGCTCGGCGGGAGCCGCTTCCAGAGCCTCGGCCGGGGCGATCTCGGCCATGGAAGCCGATTGCTGCAGCTTCTGCTCCTGCTCCTCCTTCTCCTTGGCCAGGATGAAGTTGTGCTTGCAGCCGTTCTGGATCTCTCCCAGCAGAGCCTTCTGCGTCTCAATGAAGCTCTTCACCTGCAAGGGAACGAGTGGGAATCACCGGGAATATCGGGATCCGCGGTCCTTTTCCAGCCAGGAACGCAACGGATCCTCCTCCACCCCAAACGGCGGCACTGGGGCTTCCCCACGGAACTCGGAAGTCCAAGAAACAAGCTCCTCAAGAGCTTCTTCCCAAAGGAATCAGCACCGGGATCATGGGATTCCCAGCCCAAGGGATGCTCAGCGCATCCCAGAAGGGTCCTGGCTGGGAGCAAGGATGGACCAGGGACACCCAAACATGAGGCGGGTCAGGAAGTGTTCAGCATCCCAATGCTCTTCGGGAAGCACTCAGCATCCCAATGCTCTTCGGGAAGCACTCAGCATCCCAATGCTCTTTGGGAAGCACTCAGCATCCCAATGCTCTCCGGGAAGCACTCAGCATCCCAATGCTCTATGGAAGCACTCAGCATCCCAATGCTCCATGGGAAGCACTCAGCATCCCAATGCTCTCCAGGAAGCACTCAGCATCCCAATGCTCTCTGGGAAGCACTCAGCATCCCAATGCTCCATGGGAAGCACTCAGCATCCCAATGCTCTATGGGAAGCACTCAGCATCCCAATGCTCCATGGGAAGCACTCAGCATCCCAATGCTCCATGGGAAGCACTCAGCATCCCAATGCTCTATGGGAAGCACTCAGCATCCCAATGCTCTCTGGGAAGCGCTCAGCATCCCAATGCTCTATGGAAGCACTCAGCATCCCAATGCTCCATGGGAAGCACTCAGCATCCCAATGCTCTATGGGAAGCACTCAGCATCCCAATGCTCTATGGGAAGCACTCAGCATCCCAATGCTCTCTGGGAAGCGCTCAGCATCCCAATGCTCCATGGGAAGCACTCAGCATCCCAATGCTCCATGGGAAGCACTCAGCATCCCAATGCTCTATGGGAAGCGCTCAGCATCCCAATGCTCCATGGGAAGCACTCAGCATCCCAATGCTCTATGGGAAGCACTCAGCATCCCAATGCTCTATGGGAAGCACTCAGCATCCCAATGCTCCATGGGAAGCACTCAGCATCCCAATGCTCTCTGGGAAGCACTCAGCATCCCAATGCTCCATGGGAAGCACTCAGCATCCCAATGCTCCATGGGAAGCACTCAGCATCCCAATGCTCTATGGGAAGCACTCAGCATCCCAACGCTCTATGGGAAGCACTCAGCATCCCAATGCTCTATGGGAAGCGCTCAGCATCCCAATGCTCCATGGGAAGCGCTCAGCATCCCAATGCTCTTCGGGAAGCACTCAGCATCCCAATGCTCTATGGGAAGCACTCAGCATCCCAATGCTCTTCGGGAAGCACTCAGCATCCCAATGCTCCATGGGAAGCGCTCAGCATCCCAATGCTCCATGGGAAGCGCTCAGCATCCCAATGCTCCATGGGAAGCACTCAGCATCCCAATGCTCTATGGGAAGCACTCAGCATCCCAATGCTCTATGGGAAGCACTCAGCATCCCAATGCTCTCCAGGAAGCACTCAGCATCCCAATGCTCCATGGGAAGCACTCAGCATCCCAATGCTCCATGGGAAGCACTCAGCATCCCAATGCTCTATGGGAAGCGCTCAGCATCCCAATGCTCTATGGGAAGCGCTCAGCATCCCAATGCTCTATGGGAAGCACTCAGCATCCCAATGCTCTATGGAAGCGCTCAGCATCCCAATGCTCCATGGGAAGCACTCAGCATCCCAATGCTCTATGGAATGCTCCCATGCTCTTTGGGAAGCACTCAGCATCCCAATGCTCTTTGGGAAGCACTCAGCATCCCAATGCTCTATGGGAAGCACTCAGCATCCCAATGCTCCATGGGAAGCACTCAGCATCCCAATGCTCCATGGGAAGCACTCAGCATCCCAATGCTCTATGGGAAGCGCTCAGCATCCCAATGCTCCATGGGAAGCACTCAGCATCCCAATGCTCATGGGAAGCACTCAGCATCCCAATGCTCCATGGGAAGCACTCAGCATCCCAATGCTCATGGGAAGCACTCAGCATCCCAATGCTCCATGGGAAGCACTCAGCATCCCAATGCTCTATGGGAAGCACTCAGCATCCCAATGCTCTATGGGAAGCACTCAGCATCCCAATGCTCTCCGGGAAGCACTCAGCATCCCAATGCTCCATGGGAAGCACTCAGCATCCCAATGCTCTATGGGAAGCACTCAGCATCCCAATGCTCCTCGGGAAGCACTCAGCATCCCAATGCTCCATGGGAAGCACTCAGCATCCCAATGCTCCATGGGAAGCACTCAGCATCCCAATGCTCTCCATGGGAAGCACTCAGCATCCCAATGCTCTATGGGAAGCACTCAGCATCCCAATGCTCCATGGGAAGCACTCAGCATCCCAATGCTCTATGGGAAGCACTCAGCATCCCAATGCTCCATGGGAAGCACTCAGCATCCCAATGCTCTATGGGAAGCACTCAGCATCCCAATGCTCTATGGGAAGCACTCAGCATCCCAATGCTCCATGGGAAGCACTCAGCATCCCAATGCTCTATGGGAAGCACTCAGCATCCCAATGCTCCATGGGAAGCACTCAGCATCCCAATGCTCTATGGGAAGCACTCAGCATCCCAATGCTCTCCGGGAAGCACTCAGCATCCCAATGCTCTATGGAAGCACTCAGCATCCCAATGCTCCATAGGAAGCACTCAGCATCCCAATCCTCTATGGGAAGCACTCAGCATCCCAATGCTCTATGGGAAGCGCTCAGCATCCCAATGCTCCATGGGAAGCGCTCAGCATCCCAATGCTCTCCCATGGGAAGCACTCAGCATCCCAATGCTCTATGGGAAGCACTCAGCATCCCAATGCTCTATGGGAAGCACTCAGCATCCCAATGCTCCATGGGAAGCACTCAGCATCCCAATGCTCCATGGGAAGCACTCAGCATCCCAATGCTCTATGGGAAGCACTCAGCATCCCAATGCTCAATGGGAAGCACTCAGCATCCCAATGCTCTATGGGAAGCACTCAGCATCCCAATGCTCTATGGGAAGCACTCAGCATCCCAATGCTCTATGGGAAGCACTCAGCATCCCAATGCTCTATGGGAAGCACTCAGCATCCCAATGCTCTATGGGAGAAGCATCCCAATGCTCTATGGGAAGCACTCAGCATCCCAATGCTCTATGGGAAGCACTCAGCATCCCAATGCTCTATGGGAAGCACTCAGCATCCCAATGCTCTATGGGAAGCACTCAGCATCCCAATGCTCAATGGGAAGCACTCAGCATCCCAATGCTCCATGGGAAGCGCTCAGCATCCCAATGCTCCATGGGAAGCACTCAGCATCCCAATGCTCCATGGGAAGCACTCAGCATCCCAATGCTCTCCGGGAAGCACTCAGCATCCCAATGCTCTATGGGAAGCACTCAGCATCCCAATGCTCTCCGGGAAGCACTCAGCATCCCAATGCTCTATGGGAAGCACTCAGCATCCCAATGCTCTATGGGAAGCACTCAGCATCCCAATGCTCCATGGGAAGCACTCAGCATCCCAATGCTCTATGGGAAGCGCTCAGCATCCCAACGCTCTTCGGGAAGCACTCAGCATCCCAACGCTCTACGGGAAGCACTCAGCATCCCAATGCTCTTCGGGAAGCACTCAGCATCCCAATGCTCTATGGGAAGCACTCAGCATCCCAAAGCTCCATGGGAAGCGCTCAGCATCCCAATGCTCCATGGGAAGCACTCAGCATCCCAATGCTCTCCGGGAAGCACTCAGCATCCCAATGCTCTATGGGAAGCACTCAGCATCCCAATGCTCTTCGGGAAGCACTCAGCATCCCAACGCTCCATGGGAAGCACTCAGCATCCCAACGCTCCATGGGAAGCGCTCAGCACCCCACTGCCATGCCGGCAGGCTCAGACCAGGATCTGGGACCCACTGAGCTCAATGGGATGGGTGCCTCCGAGGCAGGTCCCACCCCGCCATTCCCATGGGAGCAGGGATGGGATCTGGGACTGGGACCCGGCACCTCAATGGGACCGCCTCCTTCTTGGGCTCGCGGTCCAGGTCGAGGCGCAGCAGGGAGTGGTTGACCTTGAGGGCCAGGGACAGGGCCATCGGTCTGAGTGGGATGGGAGCATGGAGTCAGGTCCTACAGGGACACGGAGCTGAGGGAGCAGGAATGGGGTCTGGGACCCACTGAGCTCAATGGGATGGGAGCATGGAGTCAGGTCCTACAGGGACACGGAGCTGAGGGAGCAGGGATGGGGTCTGGGACCCACTGAGCTCAATGGGATGGGAGCATGGAGTCAGGTCCTACAGGGACACGGAGCTGAGGGAGCAGGAATGGGGTCTGGGACCCACTGAGCTCAATGGGATGGGAGCATGGAGTCAGGTCCTACAGGGACACGGAGCTGAGGGAGCAGGGATGGGATCTGGGACCCACTGAGCTCAATGGGATGGGAGCATGGAGTCAGGTCCTACAGGGACACGGAGCTGAGGGAGCAGGGATGGGATCTGGGACCCACTGAGCTCAATGGGATGGGAGCATGGAGTCAGGTCCTACAGGGACACGGAGCTGAGGGAGCAGGGATGGGATCTGGGACCCACTGAGCTCAATGGGATGGGAGCATGGAGTCAGGTCCTACAGGGACATGGAGCTGAGGGAGCAGGAATGGGATCTGGGACCCACTGAGCTCAATGGGATGGGAGCATGGAGTCAGGTCCTACAGGGACACGGAGCTGAGGGAGCAGGGATGGGATCTGGGACCCACTGAGCTCAATGGGATGGGAGCATGGAGTCAGGTCCTACAGGGACATGGAGCTGAGGGAGCAGGGATGGGATCTGGGACCCACTGAGCTCAATGGGATGGGAGCATGGAGTCAGGTCCTACAGGGACATGGAGCTGAGGGAGCAGGAGGTCCTACAGGGACACGGAGCTGGGAGCAGGAATGGGACCCACTGAGCTCAATGGGAGGTCCTACAGGGGATCTGGGACCCACTGAGCTCAATGGGATGGGAGCATGGAGTCAGGTCCTACAGGGACATGGAGCTGAGGGAGCAGGGATGGGGTCTGGGACCCACTGAGCTCAATGGGATGGGATGGGAGCATGGAGTCAGGTCCTACAGGGACACGGAGCTGAGGGAGCAGGGATGGGATCTGGGACCCACTGAGCTCAATGGGATGGGAGCATGGAGTCAGGTCCT